GAGCTGCAGGGTGTGTGTGCCCGAGCCCGGGGTCCCGGGCGGGGTGCGCTGGGGCAGGGACACCCTGTTAGCTGTACGGACAAAGGTGCCGCCGCTACCAGCTCACCCTCACCCTCTTTGGGGTCTCGGAGCCTGAAGCTGGTCTTTTCTAGCTCTTCACTCTTTCAATCAGTGATCTGCCTGTTAATCAGGGGTTGTTTAAACCTCGAATCACTTAAAAACCTCGGTTAGTTGAGCTCAGCTATATCTGTAAAGCTATTGCTGTCAACTGCAACGAATACTCGCTCCTGCCTCTAGCTAGAGAAGTCCCCAAGCTCGTATCTTGGCTTCACAGCCTCTGTTTCAGGAGAATACTTGCTGCTTGTCTATTTGCTTATTTTAGATAAGTGTGGTAAACCTATGGGGTTTAGATTTAAGCCTCTGTAATAAAACAGAAGTATACCTTGGAATGAGATTTTGAAAGCCTGTATTTAAGATACAGATTGAATAAAATTTCAGTCTGACCTGCCTTCAGCAGTATCCATACCATTTTTATTAGCTGCTGTTTTTGGATTTTTTTGTTTCTTTTTTGACTCCATCACCTGTGTGAAACTAGAAATTCTTTAAAATTTCATGTATTCTACATCTACTAATGTGAATATGAAGACTCTTTCTGAAAGTATTGCTTAGGCGGTTCCTGAGTGTAGGGCTGAAAATCTCAGCAGCTGTTAGTAATCTTGTCTGGGTTACGCTGCCACTGGTGGGGGAAGGATGGAGACCACAAGGGAACCAGTGGACTAGTAGGCAGCATATGGCAAAACAGGGCTGTGTTATTCGTCCAAGTCCAGATGGTGTGCTTGTATTTTTAGAAGGAAGTGGGGGAAGCAAACCGATTTTTTTTTTTTTTTTGTAGATGTGAAGAACTTAATACATTCCAAATCAGACTGTTCAGTCGTTCCTTCAGATGAAATTCATACAGTGCAATTATTTAAGCTATGGCACAACAACCATTTAATGCTAGTCCAGAATATTTTATGTGAGCCTGGCTGAGGTGTAACATGGACTACATTCTTTGTGTAGTTCTGGAAGTCTCGATATTGATACCTGCAGATGCCCCAGACTAGGAGAGTTTATTTCCTCACGATAGTTACATATGGGGTGATAGTCCTGGAGAGGAGCCATGGTCTGTGCTGGGTCAGTGTAGAGGCCTGTTGCCCTGGGAAAAGTTAGGGGGAAGTACTGTTTTGCTCTTCTGAAATGAAATTCAGTTCTGTAACAGCTGATGTATTAGTTTACGCCCAAAGAATGAGTAATTATTTATTAGGGGCAGCTGTGGGCTTTGCTTAGCTTTTCATAGCTGTGTAAAATTTGACTCAGAATAAAAGAAGATTGATGAAAGCTATTTGTTTCTCCTTTCCTTCTGGGATGAGAGCTGAGAAAAAGCATGGATAGAGAAGCAGGTGCTGGGGATGCAGAAGTGTTGGTGCACTGCTTTATCCTGCACTGGTTGGGGCTGAAAATTTGGATAGCAAATCCATGAGGGGGGAAACTGGGCTCGTCTGTTGGTGCCATTGGTGTCCCAGGCATTTGTGTATCGACTGTTGGGAACACCAGCAGAACTTCCGTGGAAAACATCTTTGTGAGCTTTGGGAGTTGTTCACCACCAAACAACCCACTGGTGCCAGAGGGCTTGGTAACCTCTGTGTGTCTCAAGCATTTTTTTATGGTGTCTCTGATAGAGAGTTCTTAGTTTCTGGAGAGTCCTCCGTACTTTATTAGTGTTCTCCTTCATGGTGGTGTCTAGTCATCATCTGTGTTCTCACCATGTGTCTTAATTGTCTTAAACACTGACAAATTCAGTGGAACATGTATTTGTCCTACTTTGCCTGAGTACACAAGCCTGGGGTCTTTACCATCTTGTGGGAGAACCCACCTCCTTTATTACCTGAGGTAAATGAGAAACTGTGTTTGTGTACGTGGGCTTAGTGACTTGCTGGCTCTGGGTGTGGGGCAGAAGAAGCTTCTGTATGGCTCAAGGTCCCATTTTAACAAGAATGAAGTTGCTGTCTGTAATTGAAGAGGTGGGAAATAGAATGAGAGGCTGCTGAAGGGATCTGATAGCTTCTGGGTTTTGTGATCGTGTTCTGAGGTGGCTGGGAATCGGCTCTGTTTCTGATGCCGTGTAGTAAAGTATTAAAACTTGAGTGTGTTACTATGCTGGTATTGAGTGTGGCTTATAGACCAGAGCTACTTTTCCTTTAGGGTAGAGGAGGGTGGTTTGCAAGGAGAAATGCTCTCTGAGCAGCTGGAACAACAGCTGAAATGTTATGTATCTTTACATTATGGCATCAGACCTTCAAAACCAATAAAACCCGCTCCTGCAGAGTTCGAAGGGAACGGGTGGTGACTATGTAGTGAGCTTCCACCTGTCTCTTGTGGCTGCTATGAAGGGTCACTTTCTCATGCCAAAGGCACCTAATGACAGAGTGTACCCAAAGTAAAGAGAATGACGTCCACATTACTGCTTTCATGGGTTCTGGATTTCAGCTACTTGAGTTGTGGGGAAACTAGCTTCCTCTTATTTCTATCCTGTTTAGAGGCTCAAGGGAGAGCAGTTGCCCGTACTCTTCTACCAGCTGAAACACTAAACTTGTAAATTCCAATTATTGTACCATGAGTTTCAGTCAGTTGCTTATAGTTCCATCTCCCAAGCACTTCTTTTGAGTTCCGGTGTACTATAAAACTGAGAACTGACACGACACTTTTAATTACAGAAGTAGTTGGGACACTCTTGCTCAGTGTTGAAAAAGCTTCACTCATCACTCACTTGCAACGTATTTGCGATGCACCCCTGCAATACAGTGACAACACAGGTGTTTTTTGTGAAGCAGAAATATTTAGTTTGGCCAGGGATGACCACATAACAAGAAAAAGTGTATCAGAGCCATCAGTGGCATCTGTCACACCTTTGGGAGACAGCAAACTATCTGTGATCCTTCATCTTAATTATCTGCTGGCTTGGTGTAGGTTGACATGTTTGAAAGTAAGGAATAATGCACATTTACAAATGTTTGTTTTCTCTGCAAGTACGTAGGAAAAAGTTAACCTCCTAGAAGTTTTTGTGATACCTTAAAAACCCCCATTCCTTCAAAAAAAACTCGAGTGATGCAGAATTCTAGTGACTTGTCAGGCAAGTCTGTCTTATTTCATATTTTTGAGTGGAAATGTGCATAGCGGTGCCCCCAGGCAAGGCGTGATCCTGGCTGTCTTTCCGTTCATGGCCTGAAACAGTCAAGTGTTGGGATATTATACTTTTTTTGTTTCTGATGTTGCCTGAATTTTGCATCAACCACAAGTGAAAACCCCACATTTTTAAACACTTTTCAAGGTAGCCAAAGAAGTAATGATATTGAATTTCTGTTTTAAAATATTTCAGATATTTTCCTGAGTTTAGAGTTTATTTTAGTAGGGATCATGGTAAAAAGTAGAATGTTGATTTGTAAGCTTTGTTTGGTTAGGCCTCTCAATGAGGATATGAGGGGACCACATGTTATTATCTCATATATGACACATCGAGGCACATAGATTTTTAGTAACTTCCAGATGCTACGGTGAGTTATATTTACTACCCAGTTTGGAATTTGCATGTATAATAGGTATAGTGGATCTCTTACATCCTGTGTTTTACTGTTCCTGAAGAGAGAACCATTTTACATTTAGTAACCGTTGTAGTGGCTACATAGAACTAAAATCTAGGGTTTTCTATCCCAACTGTGAAATATGTAGAGCTAGTTAAAAATTCAGAATATTGTTAGTTGGATCTTTGTTTACTCCTGTGTTTGTCTTCTGCATATCTAGGAATGTGATATCCAAGAGAAGATTAACTTTGAAATCTGCATGCGAGAAGGCATCTGTAAGCTGCTTGCAGTGAGCACACAGAAAGACCAGCTCTTGCAAGTGGTTAAAAACCTGATGGTTTGCAATGCTCGTATCCATGCATACAGGACAGAGTTACAGAAGCAAAAAGAAGAGCTGGCCTTGTGCAGAACTGAAGAACAGTGAGTAACAGCTCAAATTCAAGTGGAGCATTATGAAGCAGGCTTTTGCTTATGTGAATTCTTAGCAATCTGTCTAGAAAAGCGGATTTAAACCTTTCCTTCTCCTTCTGTCTTCCCCCATACAAACATATATTACTGCCTTAAAACATTACTTTATAAGACCATTCCAGTATCTTCTTTTTACTTTAAGAAATTAAATACAAGTCATATTTTTCTGGGTAGGTTTTATTATTGACATTAAGCTAGAATTCAGCATCTGAATATCAGGTAACAAAATAGACATGTTTTCTTGATGACCTTTAGCGTACATAAGGTACCTATCCAAGTCTGAAGGAACAAAACAAAACTGTCCAAGTCAGAATACACTTATTTCTACTTTTCAGTCTTTTGTTATTAAGGCCCCTTTAGTGATGGAATCATCATGGTTAATTGGTACCCTCTGCTGGCCAGTTTTGTTAACTACAGCAAAGTAATAAAATACAACAATAAATATGAAGAAAAATCGATATGGTTGGAAATACCTCACATTATAACTCTTGAATGAGCTAAAGTACACGTGGCTTATTTGAATTATGTTATAATTTTTTGCCTAATGGAATGTATTTTGAGTGCAATGTTGAGAATTGTGGTGCAACACTGTTGCTCTCAGATTATTATTTTAATGAAATATTATATTGCAATTTAGGGTAGAAACTCTTCAAGTACATGCTTAGCTCCACTTAGTTGTTATCTGTAGAACAGTCCTGCTACTTTTTGCTTTCAGAAATATGGTCTTATAAGAGAAATTTATTGAAGGGAAGAGTTGCATTTTCTGACTACGTCAAGTATTATCATGAAAGCTGATTTTGAAAGCTAGCACTTATAAAACTTGTATTCTGTAATTATTGCAGTTGTATTGCTTTTTCCTACTAAGATGAAAACCTTTACAGTGATTAATCTTTTGTGTTTTTAATGATGGAATACTATCAAGTATATATATATATATATATCTGCATGCTGATGTTCTCAACTCCTGGTCTTTGATGTCAGTGGCCACAGAATGGTGGTGGCACGTGTCCAAATCAGGGCAGAGATACTTGGAGATATATCTGAACAGCAGTATTATTTTCTTACAGTCATAGTCATCAGTATAGTTTACTTGATTTGTGTCTGTCATGCATTGCTTGGAGTTTTGTCGTTAAGGGGTCCTTTGAATTATCAGCAGAGATCATTAGAAGAGATGCATGCAGTAGGGTTATGTCTCTACCATTCAGATCATATCTTTGATAGCTGATAATGTGTTTGCAGTTCTTTTTTCAGTATTTGCTCAAGGCTGGAATTTGGTTAAGGCTTAGTATAAGATTATGATGGCTGAGAGATAAAATTCTAGAGTTTTCAAGTGGATTTTGTCCCTGTTTCTTGTTACCTGAGTCTGTAATCTGTGAGTTCTGTAGATATCATAACTGCCTTTGGAAGTCAGGATATTGGTAACAGCTAGAAAATTTAATTTCACCTTATTTGGTTAGGAGTTAGGAGAGTGGCAAATATAGGGAGAGCACTCTGTTGTTACTCATTATCTACAGATTGCTTTGATTCAATTTAAGATTGACCTTGAGATCTACACTCTGGCTACTTAGCAAACTGCCTGCCTGCATGTAAAATCACAGTATTAACATGCAATGTTTTGTATTTGGACTCTGTTAATATGGGAGGAGGCAATTCTCTAACCAATAATAGAACTGATAAATTCAGTTGCTTGTTCATTTGTGTGTACAGAAGGGGAAAAATCAATGTAGTTGATTCTGTTGGATCTGGAAAAGACAAGGAAGTTGAATCTACTTGTCTTTTAATACCCAATTTAAACAAACTTAGGAGTAAAATCTTCTAGGGAATTAAGAAAATTGATGGTGTACCTTCTTCCAGATTATCCTCAAGAATCTAATGACTCATATCTTAAACCAGAGATATACCAAATTTAACTTTAAAGAAAAGCATTTGAAATGAGCTGTGACATGAAATTCCTGGCACTTCTTAACATTTAAAGTGTTGACTTTTAGAAGTCTAAATGCACAGATCTCAAACCTCGTTTTTCTTTTATTTTTTGGCAGGTCTTCAGAAAATGGGACAAAAGGCTGGGTGGCATGCAGAGCAAAGGTTGCTCTATCAGGTGAGTGTCTGAGTAGTCAGTTATAGGAGCTAACTGGCTGGGCAGTAACTTGTAAAATAAACTATACAAAAAAATACGGCATTTTAAAAAATGTGTGTGCCCTTCAGGGGCATAAATCTTCTTGTGCTTCAGGGCGACTTGTGCTTTTAAGTCACATATGCTTTTGAAGATCCTACCTAGTATTTCCGTTTACTTTCATGGACTTTCACAGTGGGAAATACTTTTTTCTGTTTGTCACTAAACACTGAATACATTTCAAAGCTAAATAAGTGCAAATGTGCTGATAACTTTTTTCCTCCCCACAAAGACAAACTTTGAAGTGATCATACAGGGTGTGTCTAACAAATGGAGGGCAGAATTGTAACTAGTATGCAAATATTGTTTAGTTATATGCAGATTACATTACTGCAGCAAAGGTATAGTGGTATGGCTTCAATGCAAGCTAGTAAGAAGAATATTTAACAGTGATTTCCAGTAGGCTGGTACACTGTTTCCTAACCTGTTCTCAAACTTCAGTGCTATTAATTTATCACTTTGTTTGCCTGTGCCGATAGTGCATGTGACTATGTTTAGCATGTCTGTAGTTTGTAGTGGCTGTTCCGCTAGCTTTGCTGTTGGTGCTTCCAGACCAGCTTCATTAAAAAATACGATAATGTAGAAGGGATCACTGCTTAAACTATTTAAGTTAATTCTGCATATTTTATCATATCTTTAAGAAAGGTAACTTCTAGTGGACGAAGAATGTTGAGCACATGGTTCAGTAATGTTTTCTGCCAGCACAGCTGTTTGCAGAATGTGAATCTGCCTTTCCTCCTTACGGTACTTGGATGAGAGTGTCTGCTTGCCTGTCTGTGCTGTGGTTGCACCTTTCTTCAGATTTGTAGAGTTATTGGCAGTGAAGACTTTAGGATCACATAATAAGGTTTTGTTATCTTTAGAACATCAGAATTGTGTAAGGACTCTATTTTTAGCATGACAAATTAGTTTGGGATATTAAACATTTAGCTGCTTTCTTTTGATGGGACAAGAGAATAGAAGGGTGAAATACAGCACTTCCTACTATGTGCAATCTGTTGATGACTCTGTCCTGTTACTAACATAGTGGTTCTCAAACCAGAGGTTATGGTCCTCACAAGTATGGCATAGCTCGAGGCAAGAAAGAGAAGGGGGCGTCAGGTACCTCATTGTGAACTCGAATCTGTGAGTACTGGGATGCTGCCATGCCTCACCCCTCTTCAGATACTCATGTCAGGAAACCTACCCAGGTCCACTCTATAGCAGGAAAGTGTAAAGGTTTTTCTTGCCTCTGCTGAGAGATTTGGGCCTTGTACAGATCATCTGTTTTTAACTCCTTATTTTCCACTGTGTGTGCCTGAGAAGCAGAGAACTGAGGTACATGAGAAGTAATTGTGGGGACAGGCTTGTTTGTGCTTGGCAAGTGCAGGAGCTTCTTGGGCAAGATACACGACTGGGAGACCCTGAGATGGCATTAATACGTGCCTTCCTGGTTCCTCCTCGCATTGTCCTCTGACTTGTTACCCTCTGTCCATGCAGCGTGCCAAATCCAGTCCTGTCTGCTTCCATAGCTGCAGTATGTTCACATCTGTCATGTCCCATTGTTCTTCTCCCTGTCTTTCCCAGTCCTTGTGTTGAAAGTTGAGCATGCTACATTTCTTCTCTCGTATGCTGACATTCAGTGGATTTGCAGCTGGAGTTGCCCTGCATGTTTGGAAGGCACATGTGCCTGTGCCTGTGCCTGCCTTGTTGAGAATGAAGTTGCAAATACAAGCAGCGTGAATCGGGTGTCATGACTGAATTGTCTGGGAGAGGCTGGAAATGAAGAGTGAGTGGTAGTCCATGTAATGTGACAGGGTATGTAATTTAAGAATTGAAGATATGGAATGGATTTTTTGGGGGAAAGTAATCCATTCACTTAAAAATATATTAGCGTGTCGTATGGTTATTACATGCCAGAAGCTTAAGCTATTACCGAAAAGAAGTGTGATCATGTGGCCAGCACCTAAAGTTCAGGAACAGCTCTGCAGTAGTACTGAGCAGTGTACTCCTACAGAAAGCGTTGTACGACAGATACTGTGTGGGGAGTGCATTCCTTAATCTGCAGATTTTCACACTTCTGTTATTTTTACTTATTTATCCCCCACGTGTGTGAATAAATTATGTAATTTATGTTATCAATTATTTTGTCAGAAGATAATACATTAAATGGTGATCAAAAAGCATAATCGTAATTTAAAGTAATTTTATAAGGGAATCGTTGGCTTTAAATCTGATTAATTGTAGTACTTGAATGTATCCAATTTGAATCCACTAGAATTTACAGCTAATGGTAACTGAAATGAAGGTGTGTGAAAATTGATCTTTGTTTTTGATAAACTGCAGCTCTTTCAGTCCAAGAATGAATTGAAAACTGATTTACAAGTGTCATGTTAAACTTGTTCTATCAATTGACTGTCTATATCCTGATGGTTTTCTGACTAAGGTGTAAATTTTTCATCTATCATGATATTGAAAGTGCCATACAGAGGTAATCTTTACTCTCGTATTCTAATTGTTAACAAGACCTATTGAGCGTATTAAAATTGTCTTTCAGAGTTTGCTATGATTAAAGATGCAAAAAGGCTTTCACTGTAACTCTTTTCACGTATTTATGTAAATTTAAGACCTTTGTCTTTTAGGAAAGAAAAGTTTTGTGCTTTGTCTCTGGCAGAGATAATATATTTAAAGTTTTAGAGAGACTTCTGTAACTGTTTTAATGAAACGATTTCTGTTAACCTATTTTTAGAAATGCTTGCTGCGTAAATGTATCTTTAGAAGTGAAAAGCAGTTTCAGAATGTGGTGACATTGATTTTTAGGAAGTTGTGGCAGTCTGAAGCTGTACTGGGAGTTCACTGTTGAAAATTAATTAGTTTTCATGAACACTTAAAAATAGATGTATTTGCAAGTTTCAAAATTAAAATAGCATGTATAATAAGATGTTCCATAACATAATCAAAATTAACTTAAATTTAAATTTTTCATTTAATATAACTTCTGAAACAGAGTGACTATATGCAGTTTTGCATAAATCATCAGGAAGTTTTGTGGGTAAAACCCTGTAGGAATACGTGACAATTTGTTGCCAAAATACCAGTACTGCTTTGCATCTTAGCAGAATATATGTGGATTTTTCCATTAGCCTCATATGAAGATCAACACCGGAGCCAGCAATGCTCCTTTGTAGCAATATTGAAGATTTTTATCAAAAGACAATTGAGCTGGTGCTGTTCACTGCTGCCATCGTGTGTCACTTAATATATTGCATACAGTTCTGAACAATGCTGTGTTGTACCTAAGAAACCAACTTTGGAGGTACAAAGCCCCTGTTGCATTTGTCTTTTAACAAGGGACTAATAAGAAACATTGTGTCTGAACTTGAGTCCTGAAAAGTGGAGGAAAAAGTCCATTGGTACTGTGTTGGAGTAGATAAAGTGGAAAATTTGTTGAAGAAAATACTTTTGTAATATTAAAATCACAGGCATGACTTAAAACAATGGTTCTGTAATTGCCTCTCTACTATGATTCTGATGTAGAAGGATATTTCTGAGTAAAAAAAAGATTTCTAAACTCTTTTTATGCCAACTAAGACAATTCTGACTGGGAATGTGATTACAAGTGATATTTTCTTTATGGTTATCAAAACAAGACTGAAGTGTTTGCAGTATAAGTATCCCAGTCTTTCCATTAAAGCAGGAAGTTTTTCTTGCAGTTGGATGAGTGGCTTTCAGCACAAGGCAAGCAGAGTTTCAGTTTACGGCTGTGCATAATAATAACGGACTCAGAACCTCTGAGTTCCGAGAATACCTCTCAGAACTGTGTTACACAGCCACTCAGAAATGTTACCCCAGGTACTTTCAAATGAGATTTAAAATATTCTTTATCCTAGCATAATTTCTAAAAGAAAATGACACTTCAAATTGAACTAATTGATGAATTTTCTTTTGATATGGATAATAAAATTGAAATACTTATGCTGGTCTTTGGGTAGAAGATCCTGTTACCTCCAGAACATCAGGAAAAGCAACAAGAAACTTTTTGTAATTTGTTTTGATCACAGATCTACAGTATGGCTATAACTTAATTTCCCTACTTTTTTTCCCCTTCAGATATTCGAATACCCTTAATGTGGAAAGGCTCTGATCACTTCAGCAATAAAGAAAGTATGTAAGAGGTGATAAACTGCTGTGATAAGCGAGTGCTTATGCCTGTAAATTTAAACTGGATGGGGAAGTCCATACTCCTTTCCACCCCTTTTTTGACCTTTCAGTAGGTCCATATTTTACTCTGTTTGTTGCATAGTTGCTCTTAACTTGAAGTTGCTGGTTCTAGCAAGCTGGGTTAGTTCAAAGTCCTCTGATTCTGTATGTTTGAACCCTAGTCTCTAAGAAGTCCTTCTGAGGAGAGACTCCAGACAAAGCAGCAGAGAAGTGTTATTAAATGAATAGCTGAGAAACTTCTGATTAAACATGTTGTTCTGTGACTTTTTTGTATTTGAGAGAGCATATTGGAGGCTGTTTCCAGTGAGAAACTGAAATGAAGGTTGTCTGTTGGTGTTGACTGGATTATTGGATAGTCTTCAAGTACATGCATTTTGCTGTGTCATGGAGATTAACCCTAAATCTGTTCCAGCTGTCACCTGGCATTGATTTCACTTTGATTTTCAATAGGGTCAGAGGGGCTAAGCGTGGAAAAATAGTCTAATCCTGTATAGTGTATTCATAAAATGATACAGGCTTTGGATCAAATGTTTGGGGTTTTCTATTTAAAATCAATTTTATTAAACAAAATTGCATTTTTACTAACATTTCTCAAGTTGCTAGCACAAACTACCCCTGATTATCAGAAAAAAAAAAAAAAAGTTGATCAGAGGTAGGCATTTTCCCCTCTATGAATGTTGTTCTACCTATGCAGCAGCTTTGATGGTTCAATTATAATAAAATCCCATGATATAAAATTTATGGTGGGAAGAATTTGAGGGCAATTCCTTAGAGGTCTGAATTACTATTTTTTCTACTTTTGTTTACTGGAAGCATTTAGTATTATGATGTGTAATATGGATAATAAAATGTTTCTTTGGCTCTCTCCAGAATCACAGCGCTACGCAGTTTTTTGTTTGTTCAGAATGGGAGCTGAGGTTTTTGATACAGAGGTGGCTATTGTGGATAAAGCAGTTACAGATATCTGTTTTGAAAATGTAACCATCTTGTGAGTATAATTTATTTGTATTGAATGAAGTACAAATGTTGCTGTTTTCTTCTGAAAGTGCATATGGTTATGAATAAGATTGGCTGAAGTCCACTAAGTTTCTCTGTGGGAAAGGAATCCGTAAACGTCCTGTTAATTTCAGTGGATGGGGCATTCACACCTCTGGAGGGTGGTATTTGTGTACATAATGTGCAACTTGAACGTTACTTTTTTTCACTTTTGCCATGATGTAGTGTTTTCTTTTTATATAAGGAGATAAACAAACTTGTACCTCGAAAACAGAATTAAATTAACACTAAAACCTGAAAGCATTATAAAGTATAGGCATAAACATTTCATCCAGTGTTATTCTGTACAGCAGGCTTTCGATGGTCCCCTAAGTCACAGTTCTCTTAAAACCAGACCTTTTCCACACCTCATGTTCTATTACGCTTATATGAGCATGTGCTATAGCCACAGTCCTTATAGTTAAAGAATACTAGACAGGAAATTATTCACTTGTCTTTAAAAGTAACCTGGAAAAGAGTAGAAAGGTGTTCTCTTGTACTTCTTTGTTGCTTTATAATTCTTAATAGAGTCTTGAGAGGCACTTAACTTTTTTGTTTTCCCCTTGCTTTATACTTTTATATTAGCAATTTAGAGTCAGTTTCCTGAGGAAGACTGACTGGAAGGCTAGAACTACTGAAAACTTTAACTCAAGATCCTGAAAACTGAGTGATTGAGAGAGAGTGGATCTTTAAATCAAATTTAAAACTCTCTTAAACACCTGTTCAAGTTAAGAGTGGGGACAAAGATTTAAATCTACTGCTTCAAAGATATGAGACTTGACCGCTATAATTTTCTGTGAAATACTGCAATAAGAGCAGAAAAGGCACTCTAATTTGTCTTGTGTCCCCTGAGATAAAGACTTTTAGTCTTTGGCCTTCGGGATGATTTCGTTATGGGCATGCGTGTAATGACATGATTTGTACCTGAAAGATGAGGTTAGGCTTCTGGTTTGACGACTAAGCTTGAGAACATGAGAATCAGTAGAACTGAAAACAGAGAAAGCCTCGGCTGCGGACAGAAGATTGCAGCAATAGTTATGAATGAGAAATTTTGTTGTTTGTAAGTGAGATAGGATTTTTTTCAGTAATGAGAAGGGGATGGGTGCAACTAAGATATTTTTAAAACAGTTCGATCAGATTTAAGACCATAGGCACAGATGGATTTTTAATTGCATAACAGCAGAGGGCAGATATAAGTGTGTTTGCATGTCTTGCCTGTGTATTTCCATAACATGGAAGTTTTTTTCAGTGTTTAACCTAAATGTTGAATTTCCTGTTTGCAATTGTTTATGGTTAACTATAACTTCAATCCCGTGACTTCAGCACAAAGTTATTGCTGTGTACTCTAGTCTTTAATTCAATATTAATGTGTGTCTTCACCTGAGTCTAATGGCATTCCTTCCCTTGATTAGAAATATATGTTATTTAATATATATAGTAGCAGCAGCATTCCTTGGCTGCATACTCAGTTTATTAACAGATGCTCTGAAATTTTCTACTCCTCCCTTTCAGTAATGAAGCAAGACCAGACTTCCAGGTGAAGGTTGAAGTGTATAGTTGCTGTACAGAGGAGTCTTTACGTGTAACAAACACACCTAGGAAACTAGCAAAGAAGCTTAAAACATCCTTCAGCAAAGCTACAGGGAAGAAACTCAAAGCTGCACTGGAAGAAGACAGCACTGAATCCCTTTTGCCTGCTGACCTGGTCATCCAGTAAGCCATATCGATTGATATTCTGGTTTTATCATTTTTTAAAATATAAGCCAAATATATTGTAAATTTTTGGAAAATTGCCAAGAAAGTGATTATTTCTGTACTTACCCAAGTGAAGAAAAAAATTTACATTTTAAATAGGAAATGAGAAAGTAGGTGTGAATTCCAACTCAGCCTTGGGGCCTGGTTCTGATCTTGGAAACACATGAGTAGGCTCTATCTTTCTGCTGTACAGCTAGCTGGTAAATCCACTGCAGTTTGCAAACTCTGTAATATTTTTAGTTTGCTCTCTGGAGGAAATCAAACTTGTGTGATCAGTCTGTCTGAGTCCCTCTGTCCATCCACCTCTCCTTCTCCCCTGCCCCATTTACTCCCCTTATTTTTGCACCTAGCCAGTTTTGCTTATACTTGACAGACACATAGACCTGTCTAGAAGTTACACTTCTTGTGAATTAAAGAGGTGTGATATGTAGAGAGGAGGAGAAAGCTCTCTTGTACCCTCTCCCCTAATGAAGCTGACCAAGCTGTTTGTTGTGCCTGGGGTGCACACAGGTCCACTTGCTGGCTTTTCAGTAAAACTCTGGACTGTCAAAGGCACTTTACAATTACAAGCTGCTTGACAGGAGTTTTGTTAATTGACTTTAGCACAGAACATTTTAAAATGACTTGCTGATTTTCAGTGTTCGTAGAAATATGTGCTGTTCCCAGTAATTTTCCAGTTTCCTTAAAGAAAATCTTAAGTCTTTCATGCATTTTTTAATTAAGGTAACTGCCTAGTAGTATTTCCCAGCTACTTTAATTTAATTGAGATTTAAGCAGGGCAAGTAGCTAAACTGTAAATACTAATAATGTTGATTTTGGGGGCTGTTTTAGAAAGCAATTTTTTCAAGGAATTACTTTTTTTACTGGTGGCTGAGCAGTAAGGAATCAATGCCTAATTCTTGCCAGGTGTTGAGTGTAGTCTCAGTCTAGCTTCATAGATCTATTTGCCTGGATTTTAATAGGAAACATTCCGGCATATTCTATCTTTGTCAAACGGGTATTACTGTATGCTGATATTACTGTTTCAATCAAAAATACACATCCAAGAGATCTTACCCACAAAGCACAGCAAATTTACTCAGAAACTTTCCAGTGGGTTCCACCTAATGACAGTGTGTCTTTCAGTCTGCATCATCTCAGGTGGCTGTGCTTTCCACAAGCTCCACTGGGGCGATGACACACTATCATTAGATACACTTTGCTTCAGATACAGCCACTGGCTTATTTGCTGGCCTCACTTGCTTGAATACAAATTGCCTGTCTTTTAAAGGAAGAAGCATCAGTAGACAATCTAAACAGCAGCCTCCTCCCTTGGGTTTTACTTTTGGTTTCTCAGTTATAATTGTATTTTACTTTCCTCCATCCTGAAGGTTATTGTTTCAACTGTAAATAATCATCTCACAGTGACTGTTACTTTGTTAACAATCTTAAACAATGATGTGTTTAATGATGGCTTTGCTAGGAGAATAAAAAAGATTCTTGGAAAGAAATGGCTTATTATAGACAGAAAATAAGTTGTCATTTTTTTTTATAGGCCTCCCTTCTAATTTATATTAGTAAGACCTTGGTATGTAACCCTTATAGAGGAGAAGAGATCTCTCAAGTATTTCCAGAGAATTTTACCAGTCCAGCAGGTGAAATTAAACTGCAAAACAAAGGGAACTTTCTGTATTATATTAACACTTTTTCTCTGTAGATTTCATTTGTATGGGGCTTTTTGTTTTCAGAGCACACAGGGGACAAAGTTCTCTGTTTTCCAAAAACTCTGTGTTCCCTCTGTGTTGAACTTCTTATCTTAGAAATCTCCTTGGTTTGTGAGGAGACTGTCAGCCTTGTAACTTCTTGCAAAACCTTAGTGACAAAGGGCTTTGCTGGGGTTGCTTAACTTCACTTATACCGATAGTCTCTCCACTCTTAATTATCTCTCTTCTCATTCTGTACAGTCTTTTGCCTGCTTAATTTTTCTGTTCTAGCTTAAATCTATTTTTTGCTTTTTACATTTGTCATGGAAGGAAAATGTTTAGTGCAGTTTACTATTGAATTTCAGAGTAACTAGGTTGCTCTTTGGGTGAATCATTGGAGAGACTCCCTGAAGTGCATGTTTATTCACTCACTCACAGAACTGGCCTACGCATTGACTTGTTTTTGCCTTTTATGTATTGTCCTCCACTGGTCTGCAGGCATGACTTCAGTGTCCTATGTTTGAATTCATAGTGGAATTTTGTTAGAAGTACATAGTCTAATCTAATGGCCTCACTTTTACAGTTGGGTACTTTTTAGTACCTGAAGGTTATATTTGTTTTTACTTTCTAATATTTAAGATCAGTTTGAAAGGTGAGAATATTAGATTTTTTTGTTTGTTTGTTTTGATTCACAAGTCCTACAGTCTTTGTCTCTGGATGAGTGAACTAAGATTGGAATTTCTAAGATTGGGATTAATATTCAGGAACAGATTCTGGAATCTGAGATGGATTTATTAATATACTTCAGTAGAAAGGTGGATATAGTTACACCTTCCCACGCCAGTGTCTGTGTGGCAACTTTGGTGCCTCTGTGTCTTGATCAGAAAACAGATTTAACAACAAACCTTTGCCACAGGCGTGTTGTGGAGAAGTTTAAATTAAGTTATTACATGGAAAAATACTGTAGATATGCAAAGTACTGAATGAGATGCAGCAGGCAGATTATTCTTTGTTATACAAAGAAATTGCCATTTAAGGCAGTTAGCTAATTCTGTGAAATGTAAAGAAAAACCATAGTCAACAATCCTGATTAGGCAGTTAAATTTGAAAAATATTTGCAGATAAAACTTTTCTAAATTATATTGCAGCTGGCTGAAAGAAGTGACTGTTATATTTTAGAACAAAAATGTTACAGTGAGGCATATTTTAAAAGTGAAGTAGCTATTTGTTTTGGCAAGGTTGTTGTGGTAATTATGCTTTAGAAAAAAGTAATTTAAAAATGAGCACAGAAGTTTTATCTGTGAGAAGAAGCTGAACTTTCTGGTACAGTTTAGACAGAATGGTAGTGTATTGCTCAGCTGCATGGCAAAACATAATCAGTGGAGAATATTTTGTTAGGGAGCAGTCTAGCAGGGAATATATACAAATGCTGATGAGTTTTTGTTCAGATTACCTTCTTGAAATGTTTCACAGAAGAGGTCCTTAGCCCAGAATGTTACATCATATTTAATTTTCTCTTTGTTCCCTTGAGCTAGAAATGTAACAGATCTTCCTGCTAACAAACTTGCTACTTTTCCTCCTCCTCTTTCATTAGGGTTAGGGCTAGGTAGGCATCTGCCTTGTTCCCCTGCAGAGCCAACAATTTTTAAACTATGTTCCCACTGTTCTATTAGGAAAAATAACATTTGGAAAATATTATGACAGAAAACTATTTTTTACTGATGTTAGTTCAGTAGTGTCTTCTCACCTTTTACGACACTAAGCTGTCTTATGCTGCACTGAAGGTGTTTTAAGGATCCTGTTAGGGACAGCAGTCAGTGATTTTTGAGGGGTTTGTTTTCTTGTGAACTTTGTTTTAACTGCCATTGGCCAGGTAAAATTCTTACTGCATTGCTGGACTGTAAATCTGTTACTCAGTCTGAAGAATATTTGGGGGAAAAGGTTAAACATGTACCAAATTTATACTAGTTTATTCCAAGAATTGCATTCCACATGCACTGTGCTGAATTGTAAACGTGATTTTTTTTTTCCTAGGCAAAATCCAGACCAAAGATATAACATTCTGAAATCTTTAAGCATAATAAGTGAAAGAATTCTTTATGCTACAAAGCTGGCCGTAGGATTTCTGTACAGATTTCAAGCTATTAGATACTATTAAAAAATACATATATAAGCAACGGTTTTATAAAGTGTAATCTACACAGGAAAGCAAAAGAGCAGAGCAACATGGAGGAACAGTATATAGCCTTTTAATTTTTAACCTGTATTTTCAGATAAAGTTTACGTCGTCAATTGTTCCATTAACTATAGCAATTTTTGAACCTGTTACCCAATCTAGTTGATTTAGGCCTAGGCATAAAAGCTGTAAAACTATTCAAAGTTACTCTGACTAGAGGAGAGAGATGCTTTTAGCATCTGTGGGGTGCAGAAAGGTTGGAAAGCACAGCCTTTATGCCTGGGTTTGACAGTCGCTAGCTCAGCAGTGGGCTTCAGCCAGCCCACCACCTTGTAGGCAGCGGCCACACGAGAAGTCTCCTGGCTGTCAGGTCCAGGAGAGGTGGCTGTGGAAAAACCAGCTGAGGGGTCCTCAGGGTGTTGGCCTGGACAGCAGGGCCTGGAAGCTGTGGGTGGGAGGGAGCTGGAGGCACTGCCATGGGTGAAGACAGGAGGTAGGGGTGTAGGAGGGAGATGGAGAGACGTGGGACAGTGTTGATTTACAAGGAAAACCAGAGTTCTGCGGGAGGAGGTTGAGGGGTGGTAATCTGTGGTCACTGACAGGTGCTGCCTTGCACCTTGTTGTTCCGTTGAACTCAAATCCGTTATCTCAGGCACATCTAGACTCTCTTTAATTACTGCCTGAGCAATGTGAAACAGAAATGTCTTGAACATCCTTTTTCTTTCACATTTAGTGGAGCAAAGTACAGTTTGCTGGCATATACCACTTTGGGGCTGGAGAGTGCTGAGGACAATTTCAGGACCCACAACCTTACCATTACAGGAAATGGTAAGTACATATGGTACCAATTTAAGGAAATAAAAAACCAGTAACATTTTGCATTTCTCTCTCTTGTAAACTAAAGAGCTTAAAGAGATTATTTTTCTTGATACTTAATATAGTACAACTTTAATAAAATATTTAGTGGCTCTAAAACAGGCATCTGTACACAGCTGAATAAACTGTAAGTTGGGTAAAATTTCAAGTCCAGATGAAAATTTAATTATTTTGGGAGTTTCTTCTGTCATCTGCATCAGTCTTGTGTGATTTGTAGCTATATACAAATTATTTCCCCTTCCTTACAACCAAGGAAGGGTACCAGAATGAAGAACAGCTTTTTCCTCTGTAGTCAAAAGGAAAGTAGAAAAATAGCTTCAGTTCAGCTGGGTTGTTTCAGGCCCAGATTTAACACAGGACATAAGCATGTGTACTTGCAATTTGTGTTGGTCGCTGTACTTCAGCTCTGGGACAGCACAAGTTGGCAGCAGCCAACCTAGATGCTGACACAGGGACTATGATTATGCTGCAACTGAAGGTAATGTTTTAAGTATCAGGAGTACAGTTTTTGATACTTTGACTATTATTTTCAAAAGGATAACCCCTCCCATGAGCTACCCTCTAATTGTTAACTTAAGACATGGGACTTTCACTGTGTTTCACTGTAGCTTCTGTGAACTTTATCTTTTACTTATGTAAACTTGATCTCAAAGAGAATTTAATTTACACTTCATTAATTCTGAATAAGTGCAGATTTGAAGATTTATGGGGCATTTGTTTCTTGAAGGGTTGCATGAATAATTCTGAGTATCTTTGATATTTATAAGCCTTTCTTTATTGGTACCTTATACTCTTTCTTCTTCAAATTCCTTTTTGTGTCATTAATTTACAAAACAGTCTGGTGAGAAACGACATACCTGGATATTTTTGGCTCATTGCAAACATTTCTAAAACATGACCAAAGAGAGAGTCATGTCAATGGAACGTTGTATTACCTGCTTCTAATTACAGAAGAGAGAGCCTATTATATAGCAGACCTGAACAAAGAGGGATATTGCAATCCACTAGAAACTCCTTGGAATCCTAAATGCTCTTCTAGTGCTGAAAACAGTAGTAGATATAATTTCTAAGCCTTAATAAAACAATCAAGCAGAGTGCTCATGTGTAAAAGTAGCTGTGCACCACAATGGGATGGGCTCAGGGGTCCTACTTAGATGAGATGGCCAGCATACTTACCTCTCAAAATGTTTCTAGCTGTGAAATGAGATGCTGAGCTATATTTGTGTAAGAACAACTTGTTCTTGTAGAACGCTGTCTCAATTTTTACTTGGAAATTAGTCTTCCAGAAATCCTTTTTTGTTGTTGTTGTTATTAATTATAAAAACTTATTGAAGACTAAAAATCCGTTCTAGTCTTATCCTACAGGATGAGATCTCTTTCTTTAAATATTAAGATGCTTATTTACATTCATGATCTTAATGTAAAAATGGATGTTGAAAGATAAACTATACGTCTAGGGTGAATGTTTGGAACTAAGTGTTTGCCTTTTCTTTGCCTGGTCTTTTCCCCCAGAGGAATCCTCTTTTTGGCTCCCCTTGTATGGAAACATGTGTTGCCGTTTAGTTGCTCAGCCTTCGTGCATGGCTAGGGATACGATGGCAGGATTTCTTAATCAGCAGGTAAGAAGACCTTGCTGCTGTTTGCATCCTCTTCTGTTAATAGCTGTCACTAAGAGTCAATTGTTAAAACATTTGCTTTTTCCCGAAGTGGTTTCTTGAGAACTGTTATTTTTCACCTGCTTTACCTAGAGCAAGGGGGAAAATTCTATCTCACAGCTGCATTTACAAACAGAATCTTCAGTGGCTAAGAATCCAGAAATAAATGTTTCCTTGACAGGCTTATCAATAAAATTATTTAGGCTGTTACATAAAGATCAAGTATATTCGTTTCAGAATTGGTTTAGACTGATACTTGATGGCAGCAGTCCTAATAAGCCTGTGGCTCTTGTCCTTGTACGTCCCTCTCACTGTGCTAGCACAAGAGTTCACTTCACAGCATGGTGAATCTGACTGGTGAAGCGAGCTGTATTTATACTCATCCCTTCAAAAATGATTCATGTGAACTCAGTGTACTTCTCTAATTTGATTCATTGCACAACTAGGCACACAAGGAAGTGATAGCGGAGGGCCAGAGGGGCTGGGTCATTTGTCAGGAGTGCTCAGTTATAGGCTTTAAACTGGTTGTGAAACTATAATGCATGTATGAAGGCTGTTCAGAAAACTCATTTGAGAAAGTGGAAATTCTAGACAACATCTTTGCTTGACATTTTTTGAATGTACTCTGTGTTTCCAAAGTGAGACACACTTTATTTCTCTTATTTTCTAATTAGTGTAGCCATAAAGGTGGTTTCTTTTTTATAGTGGACACCAGTTCTGGATTTTACTCTGTCTGTGTGAACCAGCAGATTCTGTATTGTGGGTGTCACAAGACAATAAATCTGTTGTCGTGGTTTAGAAAGGCCAGAGGAACAGTCCACTGTTAAACACCTGGTGGGCTGAGGCAGGGACAGGGCGGGTTTCACTCACCACTTAGGGTCACAGGCAAGAAACCAACATGACTTGGGAAGAACAAAAAAAAAACCCAGTTAAATTTATTAACTATTTACAACAAGAAGCAAGATAACTGAGAGAGAGAAAAACCACATCTTACAAGAAGGGCACTTCTCCCCCACCCCTCCCTTCTTCCCAAAATCCAAAGGCTTTGTTCTGTACCTTCTTCTCTCCCGGAGGCACAGGG